ACTTGGAAGAATTTAAATTACGGGCCTTGTCCATAATAAGAGTTATTAACAGAAATAACTTCTCATGAACTATTTATAGGACAGGGCAAACATCTAATTACTGAATGTCTGCTCTTCTGCAGATTACCTCATTTTAATTATTCAATCAGTCAAAAGAACCAGAGGAGGGAAGGGGGACATTTCCTCATATATTGTGATAAGGGTATAGATGTACACATCTATTGGGCAAAACTTTCTGGCTGTATCTACTAAAGCTGGACACATTCATACCCCATGACTCAGAACTTCTTCGACTAGGTATAGACCCAACAAATGTGCACACATGCTCAAAGAGGACAGCAGCTGTGTTCCTAAGACTGGAAACTATCCAAATGCCCATCAACAGTGGAACAGATGCATGCATTGTGGCGGAGACCTACCCTGGAACACTACCCAACAGTGACAAGTACCCAACTGCTACATGCAAGAATACACCTGAATTTCACAAGCATGATGCTGAGCAAAAAAAAAAAAAGCCAGAGAGGAAAAGACTACATATTGTATGCGTTCATGTATATGAAATGCAAAAACAGGCAGAACTCATTGGTTCAGTAGAAGTCAGGATCACGGCTGCCCACAGAGTGGGGTGGTAATGACCGGAGGAAGCATGAAGGGGGCTCCTGAGCGCAGTTACTCTTCTCTTTCAGCGGGGATGGCCAATTTTGAATATTTATCAAGTTGATGATATGTGTACTTGTATGCACATATGTTGTATTTCAATAAGATGTTTTGAAAAATACTTCTCTCCTGATTGCTTAATGGAAAAAAGTCTCAGCTGGGCTCTGGCTTGCCTTAGACTGGCTTATCTTTTGTTAACCAGGCAGAGGGCGTGCGCAGGCTCAGAGGCCTCAGTAAACAGCACTATCCAGCTCGAACTGAACGACTTCTGTCTCCTTGTGTTTGTTTTTGTGGTTGCTATCTATATATGGCCATCAATGCAGCATTTCCATTTATGGTAGTGATATAAACTTCATTTTTAAAAATAGCTTTAAGTAAAAAAGAAAAGAGTGAATTGACTGACATTAAAAATAGTGTGTAAATAATAGCACAAGTAGTTCTCAGTCACAGTAAACCTTGCAAGGGTGGAGTTGGTGAAATTCTTTTCATATGGAAAAAGGCGGGGGTCAGAGGGAGGGGAGGAAACCAGTTTCAGCCTGTCCCCATCTCTCAACAAGTCCTCACTGCACAGCACAGACAGACTCAGGCCTGAGGACATACATAACCCTCGCAGAGGACTCGTGAGGAATGCAGAGCAAGGGATGCTCCAGGAATAGTGGGCAAAGCAGGGACTAGGAGTGGAGGACCTGGTTCACTCAAGTATTGACGGAGCCTCTGGGGTCCAGGCACTGTTCTGAGCCAGCCCATGTAACCTGGCGTGGGGCCTTGGCTAAGCCCATGAAGGAGGTTCTGTGATTGACGCCTTTCTGGAGAAGGGCTCTGAACCTCATGGTGGTTAGAAAAGGACTTAAAAAGACCGGGCTGCTGCTGCTGCTACTGCTGCCGCTGGTGGTGGTGTGTATGTGTGACTAGTAACCAGAGAACCAGGAGGAAAGAACTGGGGAGTAGTCTTCAGACTCATTGGCAAGAGAAAGCTCATTGAAACGTTGCATTGGTCTCATTAGCCTCGCTTTGCCTGCTCACCTCCAGGGTTCTTGGCTAGGAGACAGAAATTTTGACAGAGGTGGAAGGAGAATCGCAAAAGGAAAGTGAGTAGCCGAATGAACAAATAAATGCCTCCTCTGTCCTCTCAGTGCATCCATCACCATCTTTCATCCCCCGCTTCTGGGCATTGCAATGGAGACTGAGGATGAAAAGCCCTTCCCGGAGTATTTTTAGAGATGGTGTCACTCACCGCATTCCATGCCCCGTCCAACATGGCAGTCCCTCCACATGTGACCATTGGGCGTTTTAACTTTGACTAGTTCAAATTGAAATGTGTTGTAAGCATAAAATACACGTCAGAGCTTGAGGATTTAGCATATTTTTTTTTAAAAAAGGGAATGTTAAAACTCTCAGTAATAATTTTTAATATTGATTCTACATTGAAATAAAATTTGCATATGTTGGATTGGATAAAGTATATTATTAAAATGGGTTCCATCTATTTCTTTTTTAACTATATTTTAACGTGTGGTTTGCATTAGATTTCCATTGAAGAGTCATGCTAGACACTGTCCTACTTTGAAGGTACTCAGACTCCAAGCATGATAGCAACAGAAACAAATGTTGCCAGGCAGACAAAAGACGCCAGGGCACACTAAAGAGGCATGGACAACAGCCTCTCCATGCCTGTCCCTTTTTACTGCTTTCAGATCTGGACACCATTCTAGTGATTTCCAGAAGTCCCGCTCTGTGTATGCCACTCCTATACTCACACAGGGCTGCTGTGCCCCTCTGCCCACCAAATGAAGCCAAACCTCCACACAAGGAGCTGGATTCGGCTTCCTTTTCCCCACCTCACTTTCCCATTCCCATGTCCTGGCTGTGGCCGATCTCCCTGCTCTGGGTGCCGTTGTTGTCCCTACATTTGTCTCAAGCTTCAGTTTCAAATCTATGTACCCATGAAATCTCCATCTAAACATGTCTCCTCTGCAAAGCCTCTGGCAACGGGTTATTTGTCCTCTTACAAAGTCTCTCCCATAACATGGCTAGTTTCTTAAGATCGGGAACTTGCCTTGCTGAGCACCTGCCTCATCGTCAGGGCCAGATTGCCGCTTGGCAAATAGCTGTTGAGTTGCATCAACTGGCTCTGAGTCCTAAAGTTAGAAAGGGCTGGAGTGGAGGTCTGGGGCGGGGGGTGGAGGGAGGGAGTGGGGGATTGTGGCACAGAAGTACAGTCACTCACTGCTTCACAACAGGGGCGCATTCTGAGGACTGTGTCATTGGGTGATTTCTTCAGTGTGGGAGCATCATGGAGGGCACTTAACCTATAGCTCCAGGCTACAGACCTGTTCAGCATGTTGGCATGTCGCTGTATACAGCAACGAAAGATATAATCAAGCACAAGAGGAAGTAATGCGGTCCGGATACTCAGCCCGACCAGCATGGCTCAGCGTTTGAGTGTCGACCTATGAACCAGGAGGTCACGATTTGATTCCTGGTCAGGGCACATGTCAGAGTTTTGGGCTCGATCCCCAGTGTGGGGCGTGCAGAAGGCAACTGGTCAATGATTCTCTCTCATCATTGATGTTTTTTTCCCTCTCTCCCTTCCTCTCTGAAATCTATAAAAACAGCCGAAACTGGTTTGGCTCAGTGGATAGAGCGTTGGCCTGCAGAATGAAGGGTCCCGGGTCCGATTCTGGTCAAGGGCATGTACCTTGTTTGCGGGCACATCCCCACTAGAATCGATGATTCTCTCTCATTGATGTTTCTAACTATCCCTCTCTCCTCCTCTCTGTAAAAAAAAAATCAATAAAAAATATATTTAAAAAAACTTGTTGAAATCAATAAAAACAATTTAAAAATAATAGTATATAGTATTGTGTACTGTGCAGAATTGTACCTACTCTACTTTTGCACAGGTTTATGTCAGAATCACCACAAACACCCGAGTAATGTGTTGGGCAAGGACATTACAATGGCTGTGACGTCCCTGGGCGTTAGCATGTTACAGTTCCATCATAATCTCATGGTACCACCTTTGTACATGCGGTCTCTCTTTGACAGTACAGTCCTTCTGCGGTGCATGACCGTAGTGAGAAATTAAACATCGCTGGGGCAGCTTAATGGTCCATGCTGTACCAAGAGAGTCCATCACATAACAAGGGTCTCCGTTAGGGTCCCAGCCTGGGAGATGGCAGGGCCAGCTGGAATGCTGCAGGGTTGGAGACAACGTGGGTGGATGGATGGATGGCTCAGTAAGTCAAACAGGACACTGAAGGGAGGTCATCCTACTCCATCCATCTGCATTGCTGGAGAGAGCTATAGACACTCAGGTGTTCTCTCACACCTCCCAACACCCGGAACTCTCCTGTAGCAAATGCCTCCAGATCTGTGGGGTAGAGGTCCAGGTGACTAAGGTATCACTTTTTCCTTCCCCTCCCCTCCCCTCCCCTCTCCTCCTTCCCCTCCCCTCCCCTCTCCCCCTATCTCCTCCCCTCCCCTCTCCTCCCCTCTCCCCTCCCCTCCTTTCCCCTCCCCTTCCCTCCCTTCCTCTTCTCTTCCCTTCTCCTCCTTCTCCTCCTCCTCCCTCTCCTCCTCCTCCTCTCCTCCTCCTCCTCCTCCTCCTCTCCTCCTCCTCTCCCTCTCCCTCTCCCTCTCCCTCTCCCTCTCCCTCTCCCTCTCCCTCTCCCTCTCCCTCTCCCTCTCCCTCTCCCTCTCCCTCTCCCTCTCCCTCTCCCTCTCCCTCTCCTCTCCTCTCCCTCTCTCTCTCTCTCTCTCTCTCTCTCTCTCTCTCTCTCTCGTGCAGAGTAGGCAGTGAGGCAGGGAGCAGGTATCTCAGTGTCCAGAACTTAGATCACACCAGGTGCTCCCAGGCCGGGGAACTGCCGAGGTCACGAAGGGGGGCTGTCAGGGGCTAAGCTGGTCTAGAGGATGCGCGAACCTCCTCCCGACTCAACACCAAAACCATTGTCCCAAGCGCACCTCAGCGGGTCCGTGAACACCCGGGACAGAGGGAGTCACTGGGGCTGGGAGCGAAATCTACTTAAGGTCCAGAGCCTGCCTTTTGTCCTTGGCATTTCCCCAGCCCTCAGCCCAGTGCCGGCCGCGCGGGGAGCGCGCAAACTAAGTGGGGAACCGGACCGAAAAGAGGAGACAGAAGCGCCCACTCTCCGTTCCCGCGCTAATACCCACGGGTCCCTCCTCTCCGGGAGGGAGGGAGGGAGGGAGCGGAGCCCGGGGCGGGAGGGTGCGGAGGGACCGAGGCCGCAGAGCGGGGCGAGGCGGGGCAAGGGGTGGTCTCCCAAAGGGGAGGGGAGAGCAGGGGGCGGGGAGAAGCGGGCCCTTTAGGACGGGGCGGCGGTGCGCCCCGACAGAAGCCCCGGAGGCGGTCCCCGTGCTCCCGGCCACCTGCCCGCCGTCCGCGCCCTCGCCGCCGCCCCCGGGCCACCATGAAGCCGGCCGGGCCCGCGCTGCTCCCGCCGCCGCCGCTGCCGCTGCTGCTGCTGCTGCTGCTGCTGGGCGCCGGCGGGCGCGCCGACGTGCTGTTCAGCTGCCCGCCCTGCTCGCCCGAGAGCCTGGCCGCCTGCCCGCCGCCGGCGCCCGACAACGCGCGGCCCTGCGTGGAGCTGGCCCGCGAGCCGGGCTGCGGCTGCTGCGCCAAGTGCGCCCTCCTGGAGGGCGAGGCCTGCGGCGTGTACACCCAGCGCTGCGCCCACGGGCTGCAGTGCTACCCGCGCCCGGGCGCCGAGCTGCCGCTGCAGGCGCTGCTGCAGGGCGCCGCCACCTGCGAGAAGGTGCGCGACCCGGAGGACTCAGACCAGGGCCGAGGTAACGGGGAGCACCCGCCGGGGAGCAGCGGCCGGGAGGACCGTGGGGCAGCTGGGGCGGGGGTGGGGAGGGGTGGGGGTGGTGGCCGCTCTGCAGGGAGGGGCTCGGAGACCTTGGGAGCGGAGGCAGAGGGAGCCCGTCCGCAGCTTCGGGGACTGCGGGGAGGGGGACCCGAAAGTCCAGCCCGCGAGGGGACTGGGGTTGGTGGGCCGGGAGGAGCCTGGCTGGTGATCTGGGGAAGAGGACGGGCCCCCTGGGCGGAACGTACCCCGACTTCTGTTTTGGAGAGAGGGTGGGGGGTTCCTGGGATGGAGGGGGCTGGTCAGGTCCGTGGTCCTGGGAAGGTCCCGGTGGAGGGCGCTGCAGGGGTGGGGTGGGGGGAGGTGGCGGGTGCAGGTGACAGAGGGGATCTCTCCTGAAAGGGGGGGGGGCACCTCTCCTGAAAGGGGGGGCCTCTGTGAAAGGGGCGCAGGGAGAAGGCAGCGCGTGTGGGACGCCTGCCTGGGAGTGTGCGGCGGAAGCCGGGACTGGCTGGTACTTGGCAAGGTGGGTTTCTTAGAGGGAAAACCCGGACGCCGCTGTTTTCTCACGCAGAGAACGAAAAGGCTCTTATACTATGTTGGGTGGAAAAATAAAAGAGGGCAGGCATTGGGGGGGGGATGGGGGGCGAGGAAGAGACCCCAGCGTCTGAGTCCCTGGAGCTGAAGCCGGGGCGCCAGGTGCAGTCCCGGCGGCCGGTGGGGGCACCGTCCTGCCAGCTCAGCACCCGGCCCGCTGGGGGCTGGAGGGCGCGGGCCTGGGGGTGGGGGCGGCGGTGGGCGCTGCTACTCTCACGGGAGGGGTGTGTATCCATTGCGGCCCCCCCCCCCCATTCTACATTGAGAAAACTTCCTATGGGACAGAACGGGAGCCCTGAGATTCTCTGTGAGGGGCCCTCGTGTTTTTTAGGGACACAACCAAACTCTAAGGACCTCGCTTGTTTTTTGTGTGTTTTTAACGTCACAAAGCCTCCCTCCGGCCTCAGTGGACTGGAGGGAGCTGTGCTGCTTTTCTTTCCTCCTGAAGACACTGGGGAAGGGTGTCCGCTGCCTGTTGTTTGAAAAGCAAGGGAGTCTGAGCAAGTTTCTGCAACTTGAAAAAGAGAAAAGAAAAAGTGGAAACATTCTTTCTTGCTTCTCAGTTTCTGGTCATTGAACAACTGCCCCCCCTCTGCCAGACCCCCACCCCCTCCCCCATTCTCCCCCTCCACTGTCCCTGAAGCCTACTGTGGTTTGCCCCCCTTCTCCTTGAGAATGGACTTAGGGGTCAGAGTGGAAATCTTTTACTCTTTCTCTGGCGTCTTTTGACCTTGAGTGCAGAGCAAGCCCGGTCTCCCCCTGTGAGGACTCCAAAGGAAACACCGTCTCGGACCCTTCCTTCTGCCTCTGGCTCCCGTCCCTCAGCCTCCGAGTGAGCCCTCTGTCCCGCTTCCCTTAGAGTCACACCGAGAGGAGAGAGGCCTGCGAGGCTCTGCTCACCGCTGCGCCCACCCCTCAGGCCTGCGTCTCTCCCCGTCACCCCCTCACGCCCCCTGCCCACCCCCCGCGCCCCCGAGCCCACCGGGGAGACGCCTCCCGCGGTGCCTGACCGGCTCAGGCCAACTGACATCTTTCTCGCAGGGGCAGCTTTGCAGAAGGCCCGCGAGCTTACAGAATCTCTTGGATCCTGACTGTTTTTAATAAAGTGCGTGGCACCTGCTCTTCCTACACTATTACTCTGGCCTCTCACTCTCAGCCTGGAAGCCGGCTCTCCCGCTCCCCACCCCGCAGCGGCGGGCCAGAGGGAGGGGCCGTTGTCAGAGGAGCCCGGGGACAGTGGGGTGAGGTCATGTGAAGAATGCCCCCTGGGTGTTCGCCCTGGATCTGCTACTCCTCCCCCCCAGCTGCTCCTCAGCACTGCTCCCGGCGTGAGAGGGGACAGAGCCAGCGTGGGGGGAAGCCCGGTGGGCACACGGGAAGCAGGTGCCTGAGGCATGGGTGGGGAGGGGGTGATGGGGGCCTGCGGGGAGCAGCCTGGGCCCGCGCGGGGGCGTTTGGAGGCTTCTGTGCCCCAGCGGACCTTGGGCTGGGGCAGGGAGGGCGCTGCAGGGGGAGCGCTGGGGTCCGGCCTGGAGCTCGGCCCAGAAGAGAGAGACCTGAACTCTGAAGGCTGCCGCCTCCTCCTCTCCCCCACCTCCCCCCCCCACTTCATCTGAAGAGCGAGCCTCCCCGGCCCCCACCCCCAGCCCGCAATCCTCTGTGAGCAGGTTGCTTGTGAGAATTTTAAACACACCCTCTGGTTCTGAGGCAGCAAACCCCAGCAGTTCCGGCTTCACTCTCAGCTCTTTTGTCTTTGTTCCCGGGGCTCAGGGGCCGTGTCCCCGGCTCCCTGGGAGTGGGAGGGCTGCAGGGGGGGGGGGGGTGATGGGGGGAAGGGAGAGACATTGAGCTTTAAAATAAAGATTCCTGACAAACCAGTCCTTTGGATCGGGTTGGAGGAGGGGGGGTGTCGGAGGGGGGACAACATGGAAATTAGGCAACCAGGAGCATAATCAGTGTCACACATTTGAGGGCTCACTCTGAGAGAATCACTGCTCTCCCAATTGTCAGGTCAAATTCCAGTTGGTCCTCAGATTAGCTGTCCTCTGCCATAGCAAATGGGACACACACCTGTTAAGTTTTGATATGAGGGCGTTCAGAAAATTCTTGGCTCTAATGGAATGCAGAATAGGAGCTTTATCGTCACCTGCAGGGACGAAGTGGTGGTGGTGGTGGGAGGACAGGCCAGGGCTGCTAAAAGGAAGGAGCAGAAAATAAACAGATGATGCCCACATTCGGTTTTGTTTTTGGCTCTGTTCAGGTTCTATAACAAAAAGTTATTATTTTTAAAGAGAATCCATACCTAGGAGCTATGTTTAGTTTCAATCTCTCCTCTCTGTGTTCCCATCTTTTTTTTTCCCCTTCCGTTTTCTCCATCCTGTCTTCTCAACACCCTTTCCCCTGTACCCCTCCCAACTGGGACCTGGTCTAAGCCACCTGCCTGAACTTGAGAAACAGCATGGAAAATACGTTGGCCCAGCCTGTCTCGGGATGCAATTAGAGGTGATTGGGGACTGGAATGTTTGAAACCAATCGAATCCTTACATGAGGTGGGTGGGTGGCTGGCAGGGCAGGGCCAGGTTTTGTGGGTGCGGAGAGTGTTTCCAATCTATTTGAAACATTTCCCAAGAGGGTGAGTTACCTCTAGGGCTGCTTCTGCTGGAGCCACGCCCAGAGGAGTGAGGTTTGTTATCCTTTCAGTCCACCAGGGGCGCTGTCGATCAGTTGGCAGATGCCCCAGGCCCCTGGCTTCTCTTTGCTGTCTCTGGCCAGCTTTTTGCTGAGGTGGCAGGCAGCTGCCAGGAGATGGGTTATCCTCTCATCTGTTCTTATCTTGTTATGAACCAGCTTCTTTGCCAACTTCTGTCTCTGGCATCCTTCCTAGGGAGGCTTTTTGCCCCTATTTCTTACGTGTGGGGCTTGAGCTTCCTCAAGGGCATCTTAGCAGGTATTAGGATGAGAGACGAACCTGGCTAGATAGATACCTTTCCTCTGACTAAGGGGAACTGTTGGGGGGGGGGGGGGAGAGGCAAAATAAAAGCCTTTCGCCCTGTCAGCGTCTCTCACCCTGTCCGCCAAAAGGTTTGTTCCTGGACACCCGCACATGCAGATGACGGACGAGTCTCGGTTCCTCATGGCCAGATTCAGGTTCAGGCTCAGCTATTTGCATGCCCTTGCCTCCTTCACCAGGTCCGAGTCCTGGGGCTTGGGGACTTCAGAAATGGAAGCGGCCAGTGTGCACGGTCAGGAGAGAACAGAGGGTCCAAGCTATGGAGTGAAAAACTGGAGGGCGGGAGGGACAGAGAGCTGAGGGTGGGAGCACCCTGGCCTGTGCAGGCCTGTCCCTGAGGACCCGCGTGGGGATGAGGGAGGTCCTTCCCCGTGGGTGAGATAGGCATGATTGCATGTCTTTTCTTTCCATTTAAAAACCTAGTTGAAACATTTACATGGAGGTATATTTGTAGTACTTGCTCGCTGCATCTTTTTATTTTTTTAATTGCAGTTTATATTCAATATTATTTTGTGTTGGTTCCAGATGTATAGTGGCTAGGCAGTCATAGACTTAACAAAGCTTTGCCCCCAATATTTCCAGCTGGCCCCGTGCATAGTTTTTACCATATCATTGACTGTATGGTGTCTCCTGCACGGAGTGCATGTGAGGGCGGCTGTGCTGGAGGACAGTGTCTGGCGCACAGCTTCTCACAGACGTTGCTGCCTTGGTCTTTCTGACGCTCAGCGAGTGGGCCTGGAACATGAAGGGCAACCGGCTGTGTCAGGCAGCCACTCGCTAAGGCTTTACCGTGACACGGAGGGGCCCAGCCAGAGATATAATCAATATTTTCTCTGAGCTTCAGTTTCCTTACCTGTAAATCAGGAATTGATAGAACCAACTCCACTGGGTCATGTCTACACACGAGTGTACACGTGTGCTTATGTGTGGGTGTGTATAAAGGGAGATCATACATAAAAAGCTTAAGCACTCGGGTTTTTAAATTTTCTTTTGTAATGAGTCACCTGATTTCTACTTTTTCACCTAGAAAACGGAACATTCGTATCTCTGACCTACTTTCACAGGCGGCAGGGAAGCCCTTGGCAGAGAGGGCGAGGAAAGGATCCTTCCGATGCGGATAAGCCCAGTGGACAAGGAGCGTGGTTTGGAGTCAGCAGGCTTGCGCTCTTTAGGGGCCAGCTGGGCGATGCTCTTTGGGGCCTGAACGCTGATGTCCGGGCGGACCATTCTTGAGCTTCCCCCGGTGGCGCCTCGATGGGGTGGAGGGATCGTGGGGGACAGAGGTGGCCCCAGAGTTGAGATCCTGGATGCTTGTGCTGGCCTTGCTGCTCAGAAACGGGTGACAGAGGGCTGGGCCTTGCTTTCTCTGCCAG